AAAAATAAAATAACAGCGAAAACCGTTCCCCCCCCCCCCAGCAAGCCAGGCACTCATTTTACCAACCTTGGAAGGATAGAAGGCTGAGTCAACCTTGAGCTGGCTAACTGGGATTGAACCCCAGGTCATGAGCACAGTTTTGGCTGCAATACAGCGGTTTAACCACTGCGCCACTAAGCTCTTTTGTTTTGCATCTCAGGTTAACAATATGTTAAAAAGCCTCCCAGAGACCTTTGGGTACTGTGGGCAGCATATTAAATAAATAAATAAATAAACAAACAAATAAATAAATAAAATAAAATAAAATAAAAGCCTTTTATCCACTTTGGAATGTTGGAAACAGGTGTTCTGCTGTTCAGTTAGTGTTGATCAAATGTATCACCTTAGATCAGAGGGACTGCTCATGCATTGTGTGAGGTTATGGCCAAATTCTCAAACCCCAGTGGAGGACATTTACAGAGTGGTCATCTCAGCCTCTTCTTGTCCATGGTTTTTGGCTCCTATTTAGTATTGTTGAATGTTCAGGGTTTTCTGTGCTGGCTATGCTGAATCAATATGCATTGCTAATGGCAAGATCAGTTACTGATAGGGAATTTCTTCCTCCTTAGTCTATAGCAGAAATTTGTCTTTGCCCTGCTTCTCTTTAGGGAAGAGATAACCATTTTGGTCCCCATTGACCAGAAGGAACATTCACCATTAAATCCATCCTTTAAATCTGGGCTCAGAGTCAAGGTTATAAAGAAAACTGCTTACTAATATACATAGTGATGTAGAAATCTATATTTAAAACCTTAGACACTATGGGATTTGTATATATAGTTTATCTGTACGTCTCCCTTTTTCTACAACTTTGTGGTTGAAATAACTGGTGAAATGAAGGCTGAAATTTCGGTCAGAGAGTAAAAATAATATGCAATAATGGCTGCACTGTTTTTATTTAAGTTTTTAATTTATTCTGTAAGTAGATGTGATGTTAAAAAGAAAGAAATACAAAAGAAAGTAGGAGAATAGCTTGCACATAACATTGAAGGTTTTAATGTAAGTTTTGTATTACATCTTTTTGGTATAGTCAATAGGTGGCAATATATCATAAAGCTAGTTCTACTCAACTTGTAAATTAAATGTAATGCTAAGCTTGTGCTACTTTGCTTGTATTTCAGTTGAAAATAAGGCTTTTATTGCTGTTGTTGTAAAATTTTGTTTATGAGTGATGCTCTTGTATTCTTCATGAGACAACTGGTGTCTGTGTCTCCTTTAAACTGGGGGTGCCAAGAATTAGACATGGAATGTACGACATGCAAAAGCATGGACTCTGACTAGTGCCCCCACATTTTTTTCAGGAGGCTGACTTCAGCGTTTCTGAAGGATTGATAATATGGCAACAGTTAAGAATGTGTGCAGTTGGCATATTATCTTATTAGATTTTGAACCCCAAACTGTTAGTATTAATTGACATCTCTGTGTGATTATGAATGTTAAATAATTTCAAATGTAGTTCCACATATATATTAGTTCTCTAATGTGGATAAAGTTTGTGGGATATGTTTTTTCAGTGATGTTTCCCAATCGAATGAGCATTTTATCTCAGGCACATTTTGCTGCTGGCTTTATTAGATTTGGACCATTGGGTGCAACAGGCATTTTTGTTTTAATATTATCTGTTCCAGCACATATAATAAACCCCAAAACTGTAGACAGACACATTATCTTTTTCAATGTTTATTTTAATGGATTATACAGTGGTCCACTTTGTAATCCACACGGGCACCGACACTGAAATAAATTGAATAGTTTTAAGATTACCAGAAGCGTTTTGTTCACATTGTTTTTTTCGCGAGCTTTTAATGAGTAGTTTTATATTTCTTGTTTTTATTATTTTCTGGTTTTAAGTTTTTATTGTTAGTCATCCTGGAAACTTTTGCTGAACACTTAATAAAATGTTGCTTTGTATAAATAAGTTGCAAAAGTGTTATAGAATTCAGTACATTGTTAAAAAAAATGTTACTTTTCTAAACCAAGTAATTCCGAACATCTTAATACAATGAATGCAGACAGTGGAACGAATGATGATGTTCTTATGGATTCCTAATTCTTTACTATGAGCAGAGAGGAAGTTTGATGTAGATTCCTGTACAACAGCAGCATCATGCCTAATGCTTATAAGAAGCAATACATGCACCTTCCAGAAATGTGAAAGACAACAGGCTTCCTCTGAGTGCAATGTTTTCTCTGTTTAACATTGTTATATTTAAGTCTAGGAGGAAAAAATAAAATAAAAGTAACATCTTTGATGCTTCAATGATGTGGAGTATACTTAATAGGGATTAATATCTTGATCATCAGTTTTTGGAGATCAGATTTTCCCCTCAGTAGTTAAATTGTGATATGTAGAATTTCCTCTATTTTGCGTTAATCTTCAAGTGATAGCATTGTCCTGGTTTTCAATGTTTGAAGCAGCATATTTGACAGAATACTATTCGGGTTACATTTTTTTTTTGCAGATGTATAATTTAACATATAATTTTGTGCATACATGTAAATATATACATGGATTTGCAGTTTCCATTTATCTGCTGGAAATTATTCATAGTTCATCTATATTTCAGCAAATAAATGACAAAACTTTGTGGTTGGGTGTTTTTTTTTTTTTGAATGAGAAGTTCTGAGATATTAGATACCAATGAAGAATAATTTAAGGACTATACTAAGTGATTTTGTGTAACAAAAAACAATATATGTTTTCATTTCTTGTCATATGAGTGAATTTTGAAGTTCTGTTTTCTGATAGGGATTTTTGGCTAATCAGAAGAGAGCAGAGAACTTGAAAGATCCTTCTGTGTTACCTGATCTGTGCTTGAGTCATGCAAATCAATTGATGATTATGTTAACTAATCACCGGAAGCTTTTAGATATTAAGCAGAAATGTACTACTGCCAAACAAGAACTTGCAAATAATCTACAGGTTCGACTGAAGTAAGTTTTTGTCATAAAGTTTTTGTCGTGTTTGTTAGTCATTACAGTTTTAGTCTTCCACCTCAAATGCTTCCAGATTCCAGCATATTATTGCATGAGCTTGAACTGAAGCAATGCGAGTTTTGTTTTTTAGATGTATCTAAAGAACTCCGGGAAGAAGAATTTAGTCATTAATTGATTTTAAAATGGATAGTATTCAGTTTCTGTAACACAGTTCTGAGTGTAATAAGAACAAGCTCAGTGCACTCAATCAGCTCTTGAGTGAGTGTGCACATGTGTGTAAACATGCAGCAGATTATATATGCTTTTCTCCAATCATGTAGCTATATTGCTAGCTAATGTTGTCTAGATACTCAGATTAAAAATAATCTTGTTATGGTAATACAAGTGGTGTAACAGTTGGAGGCATATTGCTTTGAGTTAAGGAATCTCCATAGATATTATTTGTTTCATATCTTTAAAGGATGCACTGTTTACAAAGGTACACAAGAGGATTTTGACTATTGTGTACTTTTTGCAAGAGAAATCTAAGAATGTGGATTCTTGTACCTAGATGGGATCTTGTCAGGTGTGAATTTATCAATTTGACAATCTTTCTGTGGTCTTAGTTTTGGACTAGAAGGGTATTTACTTAGCACCTATGAAAAGTTCAAAAAAACTATTTAGCCTTTAATGTGATTTATAGTAAAATAATTTTGGAATCTGCATGAGGGCAGAACTTGGTATTAGATATAAAATTGGCCTCCTTGGGGACTTCACACAATTTTTTAACTTTTACTTTTTAAAGCAGAACAACTACATATACAGAACAGACAAATTTAACTTTGTGTGGCTTGTCTTTGGCATTCTCATATATATATTTTTGCTAGATGTTGAATCAAAGGTGCCAATCACTATTGCTGACTACTTTTGTTTTATAAATAAGCATCTGAAAAAAAACTGTTCAGGTTAAAACATATGTGAGAGGGTTTGGATACCTTTGTGGTATATGTATTTGGTTGCCAAGCCAGAAGTGGGGAGTTTGCTATCCCACTGTGCCTCCTTGACAAAGAGCTGGACATGATGATAGGATTTAATCTAATCTAATAATCTAATCCTAGAATTGCAGGTTTGGAAGGGACCCTATGGATCATTGTATCCAACCTTGTCAAGGAAGCACAGTGGGTAACTGAACTCTCAAGCAATATCTAAACCCTTGAGCTATTCATTAGATCATATCTGTTCTAGCTCTGCAGTTCTAAAATTATTATATTACTATTTTTCTTAAATGATGTCAATCCAGTATGCTTCAGTGAAACATTATACTCCATAGGTGGTGTTGCTTTGTAATGCTTCATGCTGACCAAGATGGAGAAAAGCTGCAAGCCTTGCTACGTCTTGTAACAGAGCTCTTAGAAAGAGTGAAGATCGTAGAGAAACTTAGTAATGTTCCTCAGATGTACTGTTTGGCTGTTGTTGAAGTTGTAAGAAGAAAAATGTTTGTAAAACACTACAGGGAGGTAAGTAACTTGGATAGATAATTTCTACATCAAACCTTTGAAAGACTAGAGGAAATAAGATGATCCTTGTTTGCATGTAGATATGCATATGTGATTAACTGAAATACTTTTTTTTTAACAGTGGGCTGGTGCATTAATAAAAGATGGGAAACATCTTTATGATGCAGAAAAGGCCAAAAGGGAATCTTTTGGGAAATTATTTAGTAAGTATTTTTTAAAAAGTTCTTTTCCTCCCTCAAGCTACAGTGACATAAATAATATTATAACATTGACTGAAGTAGCACTTCTGTCTTGGAAGCCTGGGTTATACATGTTATCCGTCACATAGAGGTTGATGTAAACTGCAGCGTGACATGACCCTTCTCTTGGTTAGTTGATGTGTAGTGGATTATTCAAGCAAACTGTTAGTCCCAGTTATCAGCCATATTTATTCACAAGTTTCCTCCTAGTCATTTATAATTCCATGCATGAAAAAGTTAGTTATGTGATAGGGAGAGGAGGAGGAGGAGAAAGAGAAGATGTTTTTCATCTTATCTCCCTGTGCTCTGTTGCCCTGGTCACTTTTCTTCCTGTCCGTTTCATTGCATATATCAGAGTAATGGAGCAGTGGAAGGCAGAATGGGGTAGAAGTGTTCCAAATGGGACAATTTACCATCTTCTGTAAGTGCAGGACCAAGACATGAACATACACATTTTCCTTTCAGTCATCACTGATACAGACAGTATCTTCCACCTTAACAATGTGAGGAAAATATTAATGCAGTATAAAACTGCACAGAGACAGTGTACAGTGTGCTAACATAGCACCACATAATGCACTTGAATGTAGTCTGTATAGGGAACCTTAAGTAGGCTTTTGACTTATACCAACAGTCCTGTGGCATCTTAAAGACTAACAAGTTTTATTTGTCATAAGGTGTCCTATGCATCTGATGAGGAAGGCTGCAGTCCACAAAAGTTTATGCCAGACAAAACTTGTTGGTCTTTAACATGCCTTAGAACAATACTGTTGCTGCAACAAACCAACACAGCTACCATTCTGAAATTTTCCTTTAGAGTTAGTTATTTATTTTTTTCTGTTTGTAACAGAGCACAAATGATCATAAGTTTTTATTGATAAATATTTGTTACTGAAATTTAAGTGAAATTGGTTGAGAGAGAAAGGAAGGACAACACCAGAAGCATAAGAATGCAGTGCATTTTGATCTGAGGGGATGTCCCTGAGATCTGAGCATGTTGACTTGCCTTTTCCTTGCATATCATAGCCTTCTGTCTATCTCCACTGAAAAACAGTTCATTCACGAAGTGAAAAAATGGGTATGCTTATCTATATATATAGCCACTGCATTTCACTTCAGTATTATTAGATTTTCTGGTATGTATGAATAAAAGAAATTATATTTATTTCTGTGTACAGGGAAATCTTTTCTAAGAAATCGTTTGTTCAGGGGACTTGATGCTTGGCCTCCATCCTTTTGTGTGAGTATTTTAAACAAAGACAGCTAGCTTCTTCCAAACGATTTGAAATAGATACCATATGGAAGAAGTTGGTAGCTCCTTCTGTTTCTTTCATACCCAAATATTTTACGAATATGTTTCTTTTGTTCTCTGTCTTCAGTTTGGAATTTGCTCTTCCACACTATTGCCATTTTCCATTAAACTGCCCTTCATGACTTTTACTCATCACAGTAATTCAGTTTCCATCATAGTACAGTGGTGCTTCGCTAGACGATGATAATCTGTTCCACTGAAATCGCTGTTTAGCGAAATCATTGTCTAACGAAAAGCATTTCCCCATTGGAATGCATTGAAACCTGTTTAATGCATTCCAATGGGGAAGAATTGTTGTTCTCTAGCGTGGATCGGCTATAGGAAAGCTGTTTTGGGAACAGCCAATCAGCTATTTAAATCACTGTCTTGCGAAGCTTAGGTCCCGAAACACCTGTTTTGCGAGCACGGAGGGAGCTGTCAAAATCATCGTCTAGCGAAAATCGGTTTGCGAAGCAGGGACCAAAAATTGTCCAGCAAAATTCCCCCATAGGAATCACTGTTTTGCGAATCACTATAGTGATCGCAAAAAGTCTATGTCTAGTGAAAAAACTGTCATGCGGGGTAACTGTCTAGCGAGGCACCACTGTATATGAGGTTAGGATTTTTCCTCCTGTTGTGCATCATTTTATATCATAATGTATTATATGCAGTGTTAAAACTTTCTTTTTCCCCATATAGACTTGATGTCATCTGTTAATTGCCTCAGTTTTTGGCAGCTGTTGATAAACTTTAAATGTTCCCCCATTTGCCTATTTGTCATATTTATATGTACAATTTATTTTATAAACAGACCCGAAAACCTCGCAAGTTTGATAGTGAGCTTCCTGATATCTCGTTATCTGACTTGCAGTTTTTGCAGTCCTTTTGTCCTTCAGAAGTACAACCATTACTCAGGTAAGTTTAATTTCTTAGTGATATGGGTTGGGTAGAACATTGATCAGAGTGTATTATTAGATCTCTGGATAAAGGGTGTCTGACTGCTTCAAGATGAGCAACAGCAAGAAAAATGGCAAAACGTTGATGGTGAGCCCTGAAGTTATCTTAACACTTCTGACCTCGTGGTAATTGCTCATGAGTTTCAGAGTTAAAAGGCATGTTAATGTATTGTGTTTGACTGAGTCTCTGTGCAGCCTTTCTCATGCAGTTTTAAAATACTGCATTAGAGTCTGGATGTCGAGTAGCACAGTTGTAAGTGCCTAGATGCAGGGTACTGTAGTGGATAGACTACAGTACTCCCAGGAGAGCTGGATTGAAATTCCTGCTCAGCAATGAAAAGTCACTGGGAAGGCTGGGTAGCAATGGCAAGACCACTCTCTGAATATTTCACATACCTTGAAAACCCTGTTGGGTCACCATAAATCAGATGGGACTTGATGGCATAAAACAACACGAAACAAACGTGCTTAATTTAGCATGTGCCCTGTCTCATAGTCTGCAGCACTTGTAGATCTTAGAGCCCATTGAGCATCTTCTCTTGAGAAGGGCGCCCTGCAACTCAGCATGTCTCTGGATGGGCCAAAAACCTTTTGACATCCCTTTTTACCCACACTTGACCATTCTCAGCCAATAGAGAAAGACTGTTCGACTTAATAAGCATGTCAGTGTCAGATTCTAGGTTTTGTGCTTTGCTGGGTAATAGCATTAAACAACATGACTTTTCCACTTTAATGGCTCTGTCTAGCTATTCTAATGCTAGTGCTATGTTCTCACTGCTGTAAGAGATAGAGGGATATTTATCTTGGCAGTGATTCCTGATTTTCTACAGGCTAAAGCTACCATATTTTTCTGTGTATAAGACCCCAATATATAAGATGACCCCCACTTTTTAAAACCCAAATTAGAAAATTTGATCACTGCTTTCCCTGCCCCTTCCTAAGCCTGGAGCTTAGCAAAAGGAGGGGAAAAGCAGGGATCAAAGGGCTGCAAGATCATTTTGATCTCTGGTTTCCCCTCCACTTCCTAAGCCCCACAGGGTTTAGGAGAAGGAGGGGAAAAGCAGCAATGAAAGGGATGCAGGATTACTTTGATTGCTGCTTTCCCCACCACTTCTTAAGCCCCACGGAGCTTAGGAAGTGGAGGGGAAAAGCAAGGATCAAAGGGCTGTAGGATAGCTTTGATCCTTTCCCCCTCCACTTGTTTTTGTTCTCTCCTCAGCTTCCATGTATAAGACGACCCTCAATTTTTAGTCTAAAGATTTTAGCCAAAAGTATCATTTTATACATGGAAAAATACAGTATTTGTCACTGGAAGAAATCTCATTGTACATTAGTCAGCTCAGAATGCAGAGATGTTACTGCTACTGTACAATAGTTTTACTGAACTATGGATCTGTTGTTTCCACATGTGTTATACATATACATTTCAGACATTGCAATCCTTAAGCATTTCTTGGCTTATCTCAGCCATCTTACTCTGATGTACAGGATCTTAGAAATCCAGCCTTTCTGTCCATTTGGTCACAATGGTATTTGCCATTTACAAGACAATCATCCTTAGATACCATGGAATGGTCAAAACAATTTCAGATGATAAGCAGTATTATTTGGCAGCCGTTCATCATGATTCGGTTACTTCCAAACTTCCAGATTGTTGCATATTCAAGATTCAAGAAACCATTTTAAGATTTACTATTGCAAAAGGGGTGGTTGTTGTACCTTTCTTCTTTTCTTGAGCAATTTTTGAAGCATCTTCTTGTCAGCCCCAGTCATATATTTCTGAACAAATGCAGCATTTCTAAGTTAGTGAATAGAACTTGCAAACTGTTCATAAAGTGTACACCAATATGTTGGAGCTCTTTGTTGCCCCACAAGTCACGGAGCACTGAAAATAATGTATAAATGAAAGCAGTAAAGGAATAAAGCACAAAGAATTGAACAATATAGACAGCCACTATCAAAAGAAACTGTTTGTCGTATTAACTGTTAACAGCTTCGTGGAACAATATTGCTTTTATCAGTTCTCTAAAGAACAGCAAAGAGGAAGGATAATATAATTTCCTTCAGAAGAGAGTTTTGCAACAGGCTCCTGCTACCTAAAATGCCTCATTTTAGATATCCATCAGTCTCTAGGAGATGGGCATGTAACAGATGGAATGAATATATATAATGCCTTTTTTCTTTAAAAGGAGTCGAAGCAGCTTAAAATACAGTATTTAAAGCTAAAAATGGGAAGTATAAAAATACTAGAAACAGTCAAATGGAACACTATAATACAGTAAACAGAAACAACGCCAGAAACACATTGAAAGCAGCAAGGCACCTGTTTTACAACCACACTCAGGCAGCTAGTCACTGGGGAAAAGCTTTCCTGACGGAAAAAGTCTTGGCCTGCTTGTGGATGGACAGGAAAGATGGGGCCAGTCTGACCTTCTGTGGTAAGGACGTCCAAAGCCTAGGAGCAGCAAAAGAGAAGACTTTCTCCCGTGTCCCCACCAAACACACCTGTGATGGCATTGAGACCAAGAGAAAGGTCTCTCCTGATGATCTTAACACCTGACCAGGCTCATAAGGGGAGATGCAGTCCTTGAAATAGCTTGGGCCCAAGTGGTTTAGAGCTTTATAAGCTAGAACCAACTCTTTGAACTATGCCCAGAAATGGACCAGACCCATACAACAGGAAGCAGATTTTCAGATGTTCTGTCCTCAAATCACATCATTCCAGTTAGTGCTGAAAGATTAGTCCCTACTGATTTGCAGCAGGCTATACTGTTCATATGTTTTGCTAATAGTGAGCTGGCACAGGTTATTGTAGATTATGAACGTTTGCTACGTATATGACAAATACATTTCCTTTGGCAAATGTTCCTTTTTAGCTATTTTTACTGGTACCTGCCCCTTTTAATGTAGACTGCAAATATACTCACTGGAGCAGCATGAGAAGCAGAATATTTAACTACAGATCTGTAACCTTATATTCCACTACTACTTGTGGCCTTTTCAAGCCGAAAATTGATCAGTTCTTGCAGCATCACTTCAGATTAATTTAAGTCTCTTTACTAGAGAAAACAATTCTTCTGTTATGGTACAGTGGTGTTCATCCCACTCCTTTCACCATGGAGATTGCAAGAATCTTGTACTTAATTATGGAGTGGGGTCAAGCAATTCCATTTCTCAGTTTTATAATTGCTTTGAAAGATTAGATGTAGGGCTTTCTCAGCACAATTCCATTTCTCAGTTTTATAAGATAATTGCTTTGAAAGATTAGATGTAGGGCTTTCTCAGCTGTAGTCCTCTGTTTCTGCACATCAAACTATGATAGATCAAAGACATGATGATCATGGAGTTAATTTTGAAAATTCTATGCTTTCTATTATATGTTATAATATCATTGTGTATGTACAGAAAGAGAAAGATGTACATACATACTCTAAAACACATTGCTGTGCTAGTCTTTCAACATAAAAGAAAAAGGCTAGCAGGGTTTTTTTATAAAGTTTTTATTCATTTTCAGTAGGGATAAGGATTGCGGTGTGGGTACAAGGGAATAAGGAAGGGATGGGGAAAGGGTAAAATTCCAGAGAGCGAAAGTATTCTTACATCATTTTGTTTAGTCGTTTAGTCGTGTCCGACTCTTCGTGACCCCATGGACCAGAGCATGCCAAGCCCTCCTATCTTCCACTGCTTCCCGTAGTGTCAATTTCATGTTGGTTGCTTCGCAGACACTGTCCAGCCATCTCATCCTCTGTCGTCCCCTTCTCCTCTTGCCGTCACATTTTCCTAACATCACGGTCTTTTCCAAGGAGTCTTCTCTTCTCATGAGATGGGCAAAGTACTGGAGCCTCAGCTTCAGGATCTGTCCTTCCAGTGAGCACTCGGGGTTGATTTCCTTTAGAATTGATAGGTTTGTTCTCCTTGCAGTCCAGGGGACTCTCAAGATCCTCCTCCAGCCCCACAATTCAAAGGCATCAATTCTTTGGCGGTCTGCTTTCTTTATGGTCCAGCTCTCACTACCATACATCACAACAGGAAAAGCCATAGCTTTGGCCATTCAGACTTTTGTTGGCAAGGTGATGTCTCTGCTTTTTAAGATGCTGTCGAGGTTTGTCATCGCTTTCCTCCCAAGAAGCAGGCGTCTTTTAATTTTGTGGCTGCTGTCTCCATCTGCAGTGATCATGGAGCCCAATAAAGTAAAATCTGTCACTGCCTCCATATCTTCCCCTTCAATTTCCCAGGAGGTGATGGGACCAGTGGCCATGATCTTAGTTTTTTT